TGTATATATTATATTATCATTACATTTCGTTTCACTATCATAATATAATACGATACGGTCCACTGGCTCTATAAATGCTAAAAGCGTTTAATCGGTCAATCAGAATCAAAAATTGTATGAATTGACCAATCAAAGAAAGCTTCGAAATACTAAGGGGACCGTACCCATAGTCATACATTTGTGTTTGTTGGGCTATTGATTCTCTTTTTTATTGGAATCCTATCCAGTTATGTATATGTTAGAGATCAGATGATGCGCGACGTTCTCGTGTACATTATGTTTTATCACATACATGTGCAATATAAATTAGTTTGTAAATCATAATATGACTCACCCGCGCTGCAATGGAAGTTGTTGGTTTCTCCAGAAGATCCCATAACCACTTTTGATACTGAGCGCATTTTCCCTCACCAAATTCCTCCTCTTCGCGCTGTCGAAGTGATTCTGCCTCTTTGCGCATCTCCTCATGTACGTGCTCTTTGCGTTGATGATATTTATGTTGGCAGCAATTTTCAAGATAAAGTTCGTCAACACCCCAATATGCTAGATCATCACTGAACGCCAATACACACATCTCATCTACTAGGTGGAGTTTGCCAGTACGATAGAAATTTAGGATCGAGCTAAAAGACTTCGGGTGCCGATCGAAAAAATATTCGTTATCGATCAGAGAATAATCATCGCAGAGCTCAGTTATGGCCTCGTGAGTATTGCAATCTCTCAATCGACCCAGACGCGTATGTGGCAACCTCTCGAGAGTACGCCAGAGTACCTCATGCTTTACACCACCAACATTAATCGAAACGCGTCGATTTAGCGCTTTAGAACGCATAATCATGAACGGCTCTGGCGGTAGGGACGTCATCGACTTCGAAAAGGCACGCTGCTGCTGCATCTGCAACGGCAGGGGCGGTGGCGGTGGTGGCGGCGGCGGCGGTGGCGGCGGCGGTGGCGGTAGAGATTGCAGGTTTATTGGAGCTATAGTACTGATCGAACCTACAGATGAAGAGAATTGAGCGTAACGAACTTCCTTATTTCCTCCACTTCCTCCTCCTCCTCCTCCTC